CAATGAGTCAAATTTTACGGTAAGCAATAGCAGCATTTTAACATCTGTTTACGCACAACAGATTTGGTGTACTTTTCGTCTGTCAAGACAGCACATAAAATGCTGACACTGTTAACTGAAATCATGTCAAATTGCTTTCATTTCTATGGTTTTACAGTGTAAATGTTATCTAATGAAGGGTTTTCGAACTATTTTGCGCATAAGTGAAGCTGCTGATCAACCAACCTTAGTTCCAAAGGATTACGGAAGCAAAGCACCCGTATATGGCTACAAATATATTGCACCAAAAAGGTTTGAATTTCAATATATGTATATATTCATATACTTGTACTTGTATACATCAACATAAATACCTCATATGCAACAACTCGTAAATTTGTTCAGACAGGCATTCGGGAAGTAGATTATTATGATTTGACTTTCTGTAGATGGGTTAGTTGCTGCTAACCGCAGCGAACGGAACTTGGGCGTTTGAAGAATATTTAACATCAAGAACTATAATAATCACAGCACAAAGTTTTCATAAATTATTTCTTGCAATGGATTCTACACAGACAGTTTGATACAGTGTCTTCAGATTGAACGTTTTAATACTACCAGAGGGGATCAGCATCATGTGCTGTTGGAAATTAATCAGTCGAATAGTCTTCTTAGCGTTCTTTTTAAACCGATAGTCCTATTGCATTTTCGCTTAAATGGATACCATCGCGGTGGATATTCGTACCACACAAGCAGCTTGTTTTCCAATTAGCGAATGAGATAATGCCGCTAGTAAATCGAATTTCCTAACAATGTGCGCTCCAAACAGTCAACCAATTCTATCGGGGTTTAATTTGTTTCATCTGCATTAAAAATTCAGAAACTATCTGTAGACAACTTCATTTCGACGGAGGTCCTACACAAGCTTATTCAATATCTCCTGGCTCTCTCTCAGAGCTGGGCGCACTGTGCCACGTTATAGTCTACCTGGTGGTTTTGACCAGAATGCACACCGACGTAACAGACCTAGTTCAGATTCCAATGAACTGTTTGGTATACCTAATGGAAGACGAGGGAAATATTTAACTTTTAAACGAATAACTTGCTCAGTTTCAAACTAACTCAAGTCGGCTATGAATGATATAAGGTTATACAGAGTACTTAAGTAGGCTGGTGTTCCAGCGACGCAGAGATCCATAATAAGGCTTTTCTTATTACGCTCAAGGTCGTTACCCAAAAGGATGCCATTTGCACATATTTTTTCCTAAGTAAACAAAACCCAGGGCTAGTTGATCCACCCGGAGTCCCCATGGAATGCTTGCCTTGTATGAATTGATTTTTTTTCGCTTTCTTTCCAAACGCAAAGATGCCGTGGATATTCTGCACTGCTCAGTTAGAGAGATATCTTGCTTTGTGTAATACAAACTTGATTTATTTTAGGTGATTTTTCCTCGGAACTTTTAACTGTCCATCCATATGTGCCTCTGCTTGCCTTCGATCAAATCATGGACCTTTGCTACTTTTTTATAAAGATCGTTGAACCATGATTTATTTAGCACACAGTTTGAACTCAGCCGCGTGTGAATATTTATATATAATTTATACTCAAAATATAAGATAAACTTTGGGTGCTTATTACTTTGGTGATATACTGCAATCAGTTTTGAAAATCCACATTATTTATAAGTATTAGCCGATTGGATTATTATTCTGCTTTGTTCTGAAGTCAAATTATGTACCAGTTCAGGTTGGCAAAAACATCATATATTATCCTCGCATTATTGTGGATCTTGTTAAAATGATTAAGTCCTACATGATCCAGTTTACTCCAATGTTTTTCAGACTCGTATTGTAGGAATAATGTAAAAAGTAGCCATCCCTTTTATTTATCAGGAGAATATGTACCGCGGATCTGATACTTTATTTTATAATATTATTATTAAATAGTTCAAATTATACAAAATCTCAGCATATGCATCGCACTTATTACTACTAAGGCATATCTGTATCGTGCTGCAACTATTCTTTTCTCTTTGTCACTGTTCTGAATTATCTCAAAAGAGCCAAGCTTCGAATGCCACAGTTTCTCACTCCCGATGCACAAACCTTGCTTCGAGCTTTATTCAAACGAAATCCATCTAACAGACTTGGTAAGTCCTCCCCCGAAATTGCCTTCAGAATGCCTTCATCTAACCATCTGGTAGAGAACCTCATGAATCCAAACGGTTTCTTCACAATCGTGTTGCCTAATGTAATGTTTCTCGCAATTACATCATTCCACTTGACAGTTGCATACTGACGTGTAACAATTTGCATTTCGTTACGCTTCCCGTGATGATCACGGATTTCGAGCAACACTTTTGCCAACCATGCCATCTTCCAACTGTGATACAGTTAGTGACCGTTCACCGATGTCGTGTCAGCTGGCCATTCGGTTGTCGTTCAATCCAAATCACTTTCTGTTCGTAACGGGCAGAGTGCATTCCCCCCCCCCTCCCGCCCACTGAAGTCGAACGACATTTGGGATTGATGTGGTAGACAAATGTCACGTTTTCATGCTCCCAAATTTTTGCGATGAATCACGAAGGAATACATACTNATACATACTGCACTGACATTCTGTATCTCTAGGATGCGGTTTGAGTTTCTATCTGAACCTAGTACAATAGATGTTACTGATTGAAAACTAATAATACATCAGGACAGAACTCTCGCATAACTCTGCCCAATGAACCAATAATAATACCAAAAAACTTAATCTAAAGTGGAACGAATAGATGAAGGGGTCTAAATTATCAAATAAATTGAACTTAGTTCAGTGTGAATACCATAAATTTGTTCAACCATATTGATCTAACTTTGTTTCAAAATAGTTTGGTTTAACCTTTGTGCTTTTCTGCCTCTCGGATGCAAAAACGAAGGGATATAAGCATACTGCTGAAAATCTGAAAAGTTTAGCTCTATAAAAAGTCTATTTATACCGTAAACGATTAGTTTTACGGACAATTTAGATACAATTGTTGTGTTTTCATGGCCCAACGAATCACTAACAAGACACCGGTTCTTTCACCACATCAAAGGCCATGTTCCAACCAGTTTCCACAATTGGAATCTTAGTAGCAGTTCAGTGTACAGTGAGCCAACTATCGGAAACGATGGGAATGCTCTCACATAGTGCATGTGCTAGCTGAAATATCAGATTCTTCCAATTAAAAAAAACAATAGTAGATTAGAGGCTGAAACGGTCAAAATTTTCTCGGTCTTTTCTAGTCGGTGTGAAGCTGAGAAGCATAACAGTAGTGAAATCAGCGTCTGTGGACAGATTAAACGCACACGGTTCAATGGAACTTGCAGATTTGTTTTCAATCAAACCGACGTCGGTTTATGTGGATATGGTCAGCATGATTTGGTTCACCGGGGGAGATGGGAGGAGGAGGCGGGCAGGACTGAAAGGTCTAATCGATATCCATGAGAGCTGCGTTCAAAGCTGGCATGAACTAGGGATCTCTGCTTATCTAAGCAGTACTAAAATCGCTAAACACTTATTGGTTGAGTGGAGCTAAGTATGTTCCGTGTCATCGATATGCTCACCCATGTACTGCAATTCGAGAGCTCTCTATAATTTCATTGATTCAAGAAAGTTCTAGGGATTTTCGAGCCTTGTAACTTCGATAAGCTCAGAATTCCCATTGCGTAACTTTACGCCGTTGATCTATAATCTCGTACTTGACTGAATTTTGCGCGGCACATAGTTCAGTGTGGTCGCAACCGATAACCGAGGCTTTCGATATCTGATATTTGCATTACCAAGCTATTTTCTCTGCATGCAACTCAGGTTCCGGTTAGGTACTGCTCATTTGTTTCTGTCAGTTTATCGTGCAACGCCACTTATACAGCAGCTAAACACATCTGAGCTATTCCATCACGATTTGATCAGACTTGCCACCTGTTTGGGGGCTGTGGCTAGAGTAAAGTGAACTGAAATGAGACCAACCAATCGTGAAATCTCACCGTTACACGTATATGTTTTTTCCATGTCAAAATTGTGCAAAGTACGATGACTTTCGCCATTGTAAATTCTTTTTGTCCTCTCAGAATTGGAAAATTATTCGAGCGATTCATCAACATTGTAGGCGATTGATTCGTTCAACCACCGGGGTCTATTAAATTCGCAGACCGAGAGCTGCATTGTGCTAAAGGATTTCAGTCAGAGTTTTCTGAATAAACTGCAGTAAGCATTTTTTTCGTTTACATTCAGAACTCAGGAATGAGGTAAAAATTGACAAAAGAAGGGGACAAACGTTGACGCAGTGTTGTTTTCATGTAATGGGTTGATGTGTTCCTCCACATTGAATGGGATTCCTGGGGTTCATCTCCCCCATTCATAGAGATAGGTACCAACCATTTATTGTGTAAACACAGCAAAATCCTCCATACTGGTTAACCTTTTTATTCGCCGGATTGTGTAAGCCAAACAACAAAACAGTTAGTGTTTTTGGTTTCCCATGCTGCAAATCGCTATCGGTGTTTTCCGCGAGTTGTTTCGTTACATCGTAGTTTAGCTGTTTTTTTTCGACCATTCGTACACAGTTGTCTGGTTATTTGGGGAGAGTTTGGGGATGAGAATAGGAATTTTTATTTGAACTGGTCGTTCACTTTCACTTTCACCGTCAGTTTATACATTCGGAATCAATGGATTCCAGTTTCGCTCTTCTTAGAGCTTATCAGCAGTGCAAATTCACCGTCATGACTGAAAGGCGAATCAATTGTATGGAAGACGTGTGCTTGTGTATGTGTTCTCACAATACCAACCTGGTCACATCCGGGAAGACCAGAAGGTGCATTTAGTGTTTATTCACGGGTCATATTCAGTGACATTCAATCAGCATCGAAAGGAGACACGGTTGACTATCTGTTAGCCCTAATTGAAAGCCTTCCATCAAGTCGGGTCTTCCATGCAGGTTATGGGGTAACCTGCTATTAACCTATTGGAATGAAGTAATAATTTTCATTTAACTTAATGTTACTTGTAAGTAGTAGTGGGATAATTAATATGGATTTGTACTGACCATCCTTCAGGCTTCACCTTCAAGCATAATCCTCAGTTCTTCCAGTCAACCTTACAATTAGAATAACTAGACTGAATTTCCTCTCTTATTAAAGTTCAGCAATGGTAACTATACACTCTCCCGTCCTGGCTTTGAACTCCGAACCCATCGCATGGAAAGGGTATGCGTTACGACTGGGCCTACCAACTCATACTGGAGCTGAACCGAATAACCAATTCATAATTACTCAGGTGTCATCTTCAGTGATAATTAGTCAATTCATTTTGATTCGACAGAAACGAAGGAAGACATTATCTGTTATCGCCAATCGAAAGCCTCCCAACCACCCAAGCCATTCTTCCCCGTAGGTTTCGGTTTACTTGCCTCACAAATATGCTAGGCTGAATTTTTAATTCCCGTTTACCTCACAATTACTTGCGATTAGTGATACGTGCTGTTATATTGATTTGGAGGACAAACGTGCTGACATGTCTTCCATGCGATCGGTATGGATTTGCAGTATACTGATGAACTTTACTGGGATTGAAACTTGAGTTTTGCGCTTTCTAAAGTGTATATTAGACCGGAAGAGCTGAGGATTATGATTGAATGTGAAATTTCCTCGTCGATCAGTCAGAGACAATATGACGTAGCCCATACCACTACTTATACATCACAGTAAAGTGAATGAGATTTAAGAATAATGTAGACTCCTTTTGATAATGCGAAACAAATAGCGGTTTATTCCCCTGAGATTTGTTCTATCTTCTTAATTGATACCTCGGCAACAGATTTTTGTCCCACCTCACACACCATAACCATCACTGCTACCAAATGGCTAATGGGTCTGCCACTGAGAAAAAGCTTGTCCGCCCCATTGTTATCGTTATCGCCTCCAAACCTAAAGTGTATACACTTGGCAATAAACAATACGATGAATGAGATCGTAGCATCATGTTCCTGTGTGCATTGGTGTTTGTTGTTGCTCGCGTCTATGCGTGTGTGTGAGCACGGTGTATATACATATA